GAAACTATCTAGTATAGTCTAAGACAATATTAATAACAAAGTTGTTTTATAAAAATATTGTTAGAATCCATTATAATTTTTTTTAATATATCATTACATTATTAAGAATCGTGTAACGTTATTACATAACTAATCATTTCGAAATTTGGAATCCTTAATTTTGAAAATGAGTCAAATAAATTCGGTCAATAACTCGGAAAAATATATTACAAATAATCTCGGTATTGAAAATAACAAGAATGCAAATAAAAGTGATTTATGTGCCCTGGAGATTCTAGAAGAAAGTGTCACGAAAAAAAAAACGAAGAATTAGTAATTTCGGCGGTGGCGAAGTTGCTAAAACGAAAGTGGAAACGGGTCAAGAGAAACATAAGACACTAGAATCAAAGCATAAACAATTAAGCAAAAAGAATATTATCGAGGAAAGACATGAGGATATTGAGTATTACTTTGAAAATGGTAGAGTAGAAACAATCTTCTCGCAATTAAAGGATATGTTTAACGATTTTATTGATGGAATTTCTTTATAGGGTTGCGTAAGGTGAAACCATATTATTATGAATATCAAACATTTGCTAAAGGCAGATGGTTGGGTAGGAGTATATATGATGTTTTTCGTAAGGAGTTTCACGATAGAACTAAAGAATATTATGTGAGTTGCACGAGTTTTGGTAAGCTACGATATTGTGATTTCCTTTTACGTTTTAATTATTGATTCTTTTTTCTTTTTTCTTTTTGTATCTTTTATAGGCGTATGCAATAGAAAAAGGACTCATAACCTTAAACAATAAAATGGTAACTCCGATGACAATTGTGAAAAATCAAGATTTAATAACTCATAGAATACATCGACACGAACCACCTATCACTGACGAGGCGATCAGAATTATACACAGAAAAATGGATCATGTCGTTATCTATAAACCTGCAAGCATTCCCGTAAGTTCTTTTACTTGATTTATATAAAATACATTAAGAGTGGTAAGTGATTATTAATTAACATGCTTAATATAAAGGTTCATCCATCTGGCAGGTAAATTCCCCTAATATAGAGTAAATATTATGTGGATGGACTTA